CTTAGTACTATTATGAAAATAGTTTTGATCTCATGGCCCAAAGCACACTTTGAGAACCACTGCCCTAGAAAAACTCAAGCAAATGTATAAAGATGTTCTTCGTAGTATTGTTACAATGAGAAACATATCCGTCCACCTATAGGAGACTACAGATCCACAGGAGCTGTGCTAATGCTGATTTTCTCACCAGTGTATTTCCAGTAACTTAGAAGGTGTTGGCATGTGGTGGGTGTCAGTAAATATTTGTGGAAGCCGGGAGGAAGTGAGAGAGCCATCAAGGGAGAAAGGGAGGAAGTATGCATATTGTTCTGCAACTTGCTTTAAAATTTAACCCTATTTTGTGGACATCTTTTCACAGATGTAGACTTTTAGTTTACAGGGTAAAAGGCCAAAAGCCATGTGATTCTTGTATAATTAGTAAGCTTATTTTTCTGTTGTCTAAAAATAAGGTGTATTTAAGATGTTTTGATCTGTTCATCACCACAGGCTACAAACCACTGCCACCTAGTGGTGCATTAGGAAGTCCACATATTTTGGGCAAAAAGGCCTTTGCTGTTAAGAAAAAATAACTGAACATTTTGCCCATATTTTGTTTGGGGGTATTCTGTAATTCAGACAGAAAATTGAGCCATTTACTTAAAGGTCTTTCTAGAAATGAGATAACCAATGTAGATCTCTTTGTTACCCCTGTAACTCAGACCAAACAGCCAAAAACAACGGTTAAAACAAGTTAATAGATTATTTTCTTTATTTAAAGATCTTTTTCTTTCTCTCTTCTTTTCTTGATTTTGCTTGGTCTCTGATCTACACAGTGAGAGATTTTTAAAACTGCATCCAGAAAAAAACAGTAGTGCAAGGTAATGTTAGCGCTGCCTAAATAGCTATGATAGATATAGCCAAATGTTAGCATAAGTTAGCATAAGGGAAGCCATCTTGTAGAGAGGAAGCATGTAGAAATTACAAATCACCCTGATCCACAAGACACCCTCTTTGCTGAGGCAGCAATGCCTTAGTTTGCAGGTAGCCTGGATAAGTCCACACCTGCTTGTGAGGAATATGCATGTTTTGCTACTTTCTCAGCCTTAGCTTATACATAGACCTCCCTATTGCGATAAGGCAGTAACTTTGTTCTTTAAGTTTTCCCAGGAATGTAACAACCTCCAGAGAGGAGCCCTGTGCTGGTATCCATCACCAATGACAAGGAAAAGGGATGATCCGGCGTCTCAAGGACTACAACACCAGATGGTTGCATTCTGAGACCTCCCTTCTTTTCAGCCCGTTTGCCCTGTATAACTCCTTCAAAATTTTGTAGTTTTAAGACGGTTCTTTAGGACATTCATCCACCATCTTCCCCCTTGCTAGCAAGCTGTAATAATAAAAGACCCTTTCTCTCCTACCACCTTGCCTCTGGACTGTTGGCTTGTCTTTGCGGCGCGTAGAGGACCCCTATTTGGCGGTGACAGTAACTCTCAATAAATGCTTGCTGCTGAGAAGGAAACACAAACATTCATGGCTTTTTTTTTTTTTTTTTGAGGCAGATTGGCCCTGCGCTAACATGTTGCCAATCTTCCTCTTCTTCTTTTTTTTCCCCAAAGCTCCAGTACACAGTTGTGTATCATAGTTGTGAGTTGTGACTCTTCTACATGGGATGCCTCAACATGGCTTGAGGAGCAGTGCACATGTCTGCGCCCAGGATCCGAACCGGCGAACCCAGGGCCACCACAGTGGAACGCACGAAATTAACCACTGCGCCACCAAGCTGGCTCCCTTTTTTTCTTAATACTTGTTTTCGTTCACTCAATGCCTAGCACATAAGGGAGCCCAATAAATATTGTGGAAGGAAGGTGGGGAGGGAAGGAGAGAAAGTGGAAGGGAGGACGGAGGGCTGATTATGCTCAAAAAAGAGATAGAAGGCTATGATCTTCAGAGTGCCTTCCATCTCTGTGATTCTAGAACATTAATAACTATGACAACGAAGCCATGGTGAGTTATGAAGATTTCAAAGGCAACTAAAATCACTGCACTGCCAATGAAGGGATTCACGTCTCCTTACCTTAATCACCAATGAAACAGCCCTGCTCTGAAGATAATTACTGGGGGTCCTCATTTTTCAAATATTCATTATCTAAATCTCCACAGTTATGAGCCTGGGTAGGGAAAATTCATCAAAACATGAAAATATTCACCCATCAACTTCCAAATACTCCCTTTGCAAAAATCCCTCCCCACTTAATATTCATGTCTATCCCCACCTATCTAGTAAACATCTTGTCCCTCAGGTGATGTAAATATTGTATAATAAAATAAAAATACTGTACAATGAAAATTTATTACAAAGTAAAATTGCAAATCTTCCAATAAAAGGATTTCACAGAGTACACAAAAGTGATGGTGGAAATTGCTTGAATCACAAGCAAAGGCATTAACACATGAGAATATGGCAGAGAAAGCTGATACAAAGCTGATTACATGGTAGTGATAGATGCTTCCTGTTCTGGCTATCTATTGCAGCATAACAAATCACCCCAAAATTTACTGGCTTAAAACAATATCAATCATTTCATTCTCTCTGACAGTTTCTATGGTCAGGAATTTGCAAGGGGCTGGACCGGGCAGTTCTGGCTTGGGGTCTCAGGCAGTTGTAGTGGGATTTTGGCTCCCCCTCCTCACACCCAGGTACCCGCCCAGTTTAACCCCTAATAGTTCTCTGTTTCCCTTGGGATAAAGCCAAAAACCCTACATATGACTTTCCAGGCGCTCTGTGGTGTGGCACAATCTTCCCAAGCTCATCTCACGCCACGCTGCTCCTTGCCGTCCACCCACACTGGCCTTTCCCAGGGGAGTTGTCAGCTGCCACAGGGCCTTGCAGGTGTAGTTCCTGCTGCCTGTTATGCTCTCCCCCTACAGCCTCCCATAGTAGACATCTGCCACTTTGCCTGACCAAAGTGCTGTCTCATTTTTCTAGTATAAACAAAAACACCCCATCTTTTCTTTCCATCACCTGATGGATCCTGTAGTAACATGGATCCCTTCCCCTATCCCAACATCTAATTCAAGCTGGCCAATCAGAGTACCTCATCCACTGGATATAGTGATTGGTCCAGGGTTGGACATGTTATCCAAGCAGAACCAATCAGAGTCCTTTTTCTGTAATTTCTATAGAGGCTCTCCTTCTGTAATCCTGGGTGCCGAAACATATCTCCAGGTGGAAAAAAAAAATCTATTAAGTCACCACAGAGGGAAAGCAAAATTAAGAGATGGAGAGAGAGAAAGAAGTCCTGATGACGGTGCTTAAATCCCTGAATTCTGGCTTTTCCCAAAGCCAGTCTACCCTCTGACTTTCCTGTTACATGAGCCAAGTTATGCTCAAGTTAGAGTTGAGTTTCTATTACTTCATTGTCCTTCATCTGCCTAACTCTTCCGGGAAAGCCTGATTCCAAAAAGCCTTCACAGACCTTCCTGTGTAGTTCAAATCTTTTTTTTTTTTTCTTTTTTAAGAAATGACTGATTATTTTCCCCCTCCCCAAAGCCCCAGTGCATCGTTGTGTATCATAGTTGTAAGTCTTTCTAGTTCTTCTATGGGAGCTGCTGCCACAGCGTGGCAACTGACAGCCGGGTGGTGTGGTTCTGCCACCTAGAAGGGAACCTGGGCTGCCCAACTGGTGAGAGCGGGAACTTGAACCACACCATCAGGGATGGCTCTCAAATTTTTTATAAGCCCTTAGGGCACTATGTACTGTCCAACATAGCACTCACCACAGTTATCATATTATATTTATGCCTGGAATTGTTTACATGTCTCCTCCATATGACTTTAAGTTCCATGAGAGGGCCTTGGGTTTTACTCAACATTCATCTGTGTCTTACTAGTGCCTGGCAGAGAGCGGGCACTCCATACATATTTGTAGAACAAATGAATTACCTAATGAACCCACACGGCTGACAAGGGCAGCACGTTAGGCCCAGAAGAGACCAGAAAGAAGAGCTCTTTGTTCTTAAAAAAAAAAAAAAAAAAAAGGCTAAAAAGCCAAAATAAACCACTCTTAACATGACTTTACATTTCTCAACAAAAATGTAGCTACTGTCCTTCCCTGGACCCTCGATTTTCATTCCTCTGGCTTAAGCAGTTCTTGGTTCTTAAACCAAAAAAAAAAAAAAAAGAAAAGAAAACAAAGAACCACCTTTGTTATTTTAAAAATAATATAAGAAAATATTCATGGGTACAACTTTTCTGAGAAACGAAGAGTAAATAGAGAGAGGACTAGCCCTATCAGATTTTAAAACATATTTAAAAGTTCACAATAGTAATTATAACTGTTTATTATCAAAGAAGAGACAAATAGATAAGTGGATAGAAACATACAATACATATGTAAACTTAATGATAAAGACAGCATTTAAAAACAGTGAGGAAAAGAAAATGGCCCATTAAATGGGACTCAGAGAGGTTAAGTAACTTGCCCAGTCACACAGCCCGTAAGCGGTGGGTCAGCGATTCTGACTTCGAGCGTCTGACTTTCTCACTTTAGAACTTGCCCTTTTAAACATTACGCTATCCTTGTTTCTCTCTGTATCGCCAAGCCTTTGACAGGGCACTGCAAATAGAAGGCATCAATGAATGAGACCACAAAGCCCTACAGGGGAAAAAAAGAGAAAGATTAAAAAGTCAGAACAAAAATGTAAAATCATTTGACGGGGTCGCCCACACGGAGCAACAGGCCACAACCCGGCCTTAGGCAAGTCTAGGCCCCCCGGAGGCCTCCGCGTCTCGGTGGTAGCCTCGCTCACGTAGCGCTGCGCGGCAGGTGCACCAAGCTGCGCGGCGCGGCACCGTCGGGCAGTCGACTCACGCGAGACCGAGGGACGGCGCAGCCGGCCGAGTCTGCGCAGGGCAGAGACCTGAGCCGGTGGCAGGCGGCCTGGGCGCGCGCGCGGATTGGCAGGCTCAGCCGGGGCCCGGCGGCGGGGCGGTGGCGGGGGTATGGCGGGTTTGGGGAGCAGGCCGGAAGTGGCTGGCGGCCGCGGGCGCGGTGTCCGAGGTGGTGGCGCCGCGCGCGAATGAGGAGCAGGCTGCGCGATGGCGGCCGTGGAGGGGTCCCCGGTCGAGCGGGAGGCTGGGGGTGGCCTGGAGGTGAGACCCCGCTGCGTTCGCAGAGCTGGGGGCCCCGGCGCCTGAGTGCCTCAGGGAAGCGGGGTGGCGAGCAGATCTTCGGAGGCAGGCCCCCGGACCCCTCATTTCTCTGAGTGGGGGGAGGCTGGGGCCTCGGGCACGAAGGCGCGTGGTGCGCGGGGCCGGGCTTTCTGTGCCTTTGGCCCTCTTTTGGGTCTCGGCGTACCCCTCCCACGACCCTCCCGCTGCCGCGTCCCCAAGTCTTGTCTGCTCCACTTCCCTCCTTGGGTACCGCAAACTGCATCTCCCCCAGGCCCAGAATCGACCCTCAGGCATAAATGGACCCTATTCCCTGACCGCCGCTGACCCAGGCGCGTTTGTAGATGTAACTTGAAGTGTAAGATCTGGTTTCCATGCTCCAGGAGTTAGTGACAGCCGGTGGGGGAGACTAGACCGAACCACAGGAATGAACTGTACGGTTCAGGCATGTTCTAATACTTGATCTAAAATATTTTGACTGTTGGAGTTCAGAGGAGGGAGAGATTTAGGCTCGTCTCTTTTTGTAAAGGTCCGCCTGCCATGTCGTTTTAGGAGTAACTTCAAAAGTCATTTCCTTTGGGAAGCCTTCCAGGATCGCCACCTCCCTACCTCCATCTTTAAGCGTTTCATCTTTTTTAGCTTATTTAGCTAGTGCTTATTTAGTATCTAATTCATAAGCACTTATTACCTTGTTGTGTGTGTGTGTGTCTGTCTTCCAGGGACTCTAGGCAGGGACTCTGTCTGTTTAGCATCACCTAATGCATGCACATGAATATGAATTTAAAAGGATGGAAATGGTTAGAGGTACTAACTGAGGTGAGAAGTATTTGTGTAAGTCAGGGGTTGAAAATGATCGCCCTTGGGCCAGATTGGGCTGTAGACACATTCTTGGCTTATGCTGTTTGTTTTTATTTGAATTAATGGCCAAGATTTTCAAATCAGGAAATTTCTTTCACATCCACTCACACAAAATCTAGATTTTCAGCATCTCTTCAAAAATCAGATGATGTGGCCAAACGGGGCCCACCTGCCTGCATGGTGCAATTAGCAGGAAAGTAGCAGCCCACTTTAGACTCAGCATAAAATTTCCAGATCCTCAGTCCCAACTATTCTTCGTTGTCTCGGTGACACTGAAACAAAGTATCGGTTGTCATTTATCACCTAGTTTGCTTCACTCCTGATTAACTGCCTGGGCTCTTGCAGCCATTTGAGTTCTTTTTTTTTTTTAATGCTTTTGTGTCTTTGTTTGTTTTTTGCAGGGAAAGATTCACCCTGAGCTAACATCTGTTGCCAATCTTCCTCTTTTTTTCCCTCCCCAAAGCCCCTGTGCATGGTTGTATATCCTAGTTGTAGGTCCTTCTAGTTCTATGTGAGTGGCCGCCACAGCATGGCAAGTGACAGACAGGTGGTGTGGTTCTGCGACTGGGAAGCGAATCCGGCCCCCTGAACCGGTGAGAGTGCTGAACTTTAACCACTAGGCCATCAGAGCTGGCTTGCCATTTGAGTTCTTGATTCCAGATTAGATGGAGGAAAGCCGGAAGGCCATCACACAGGAGAGTCATGGGCAAAGGGACAGAATGGAGAGAAGCACAGTAGATGGGAAAGTTAGGGAGGATACAAGAGCATAGATTTGCTCTTAGGTGAATCATCGAGTAGTGCTATTGTCATGGGTTGAATTGTGTCCCCCCAAAAAGATAGGTTGAGGTCCTAATCCCTAGTACCTCAAGATATGACCTTATCTGCAAACAGGGTCAGATATAATTAGTTAAGATGAGGTCATCCTGGAGTAGAATGGGCCCTAATTCAATATGACTGGTGTCCTTATAAGAAGATGGTCATATGAAGACACAGACACAGGGAGAATATCATGTGAAGATGGGCGCAGAGATTGGAGTGATGCATCTACAAAGCAAGGAACACAAGGATTGCCAGCTCTCACCAGAAGCTAGGAGAGAGGCGTGGAAGTTTTCCTTTAGAGCCTGCAGAAGGAAGCAACCCTGCCAATACCTTCATTTCAGACTTCTAGCCTCCGGACCTGTGAGAGAATAAATTTCTGTGGTTTTAAGCCACCCAATTTGTGGTACTTTGTGACAGCAGCCCTGGGATACTAATGCAGCTCTGTAAGTCAAAAAGAAGCTATTATTTCCATTAATAGGTGATAGAAAATTCATGGTAAACTTTTGATCATTGATGTCAGTGAAAGCAGTGTTTTAGGGCCGGCCCCGTGGCTTAGTGGTTAAGTGCGCGCGCTCCGCTGCTGGCGGCCCGGGGTTCGGATCCCGGGCGCACACCAGCTGCACCGCTTCTCCGGCCATGCTGAGGCCGCGTCCCACGTACAACAACTAGAAGGATGTGCAACTATGACATACAACTATCTACTGGGGCTTTGGGGGAAAAATAAATAATTAAAAAAAAAAAAAAGCAGTGTTTTAGAAAATGATTTCGTATGACAGTGTATCAGCATGGATTGGAGCCAGAAAGCATATTTAGAGATTTTACAGGAATCTAAGGATGAGATGAGAAGGTGCTGGATTAAGACGGGGTTGGAGCAGTTTGCAGAGTGAGGTAGTTGGTATAGATAGAGAGATAGAGAGGGAGGAATTCAAGATGACTAGAGCAGGGTTTCTCAAATTGTAGCATACCTGAGAGTCACCTGGGGAGCTTGGGAAGCACAGTTGCCGGGCCCCTCCCCCACAGGCTCTGACTCACTAAGGGCAGAAATGGGTAGTAAGAAGGGGATAAGGTTAGAAGCAAAAATGATGAGTTCATTTTTATTCATTTGATTCGTCTTGACTGTCAGCAAGACGTTGAACCAAAGATGCATTGTGAACGTAGACTAAAATGTGGGTGAAGAATAGGAGTTTTAGATTTATGATTCATTCCAGACAAAGGTGATAATTGAAGCCAGAGGTGATATGGTCATTGAGATGTTGAATATAAAGAGAGGACTGGGGGCTGAACCTTAGTAACGTTTAATAGGAGGCGAAAGCTGAAAAGGTCGATAAAGAAGTGGAGTGATTGGAATATCATGCATTAAAGAAGCCAAGGGAGAAGAGAGTTTCAGGGATTATTTAGTCAAGGAAAGAGGGAAGAGAGTTAACCTACTATTCATTTATTCAACAATTTTTTATTGAGTGCCCACTGTGTTCCAGCTACTGTTCCAATTACTGAGCAAAACAGACAAAGACCCCCACGCCCATGGGGCTTACATTCTAGAGATGCTTACACTGTAGTAGTGTGTGTCTTTCTATATATGGGGGTGGGGGGGTTGATCTGTACAATGACACTTTGGAATAAGTGGTATTATTTCTGTTTTGCATTTGAGGAAAAGGTGGTTGAGGGAGATTGAGAAGCCAAGATTCTAACTTGGTCCTGCTTGTTTCCAAAGCCCGTGTTCTGTTCAGGCCTCCAAGCTGTCTCCAACCTGTATCACCAGTGTCACTTTTCTGCTTTCGTTACTGCTGATGATTCCAAAATCTGTGTCTCCATTCTAGATTTTCCTCCTGGGCTCCTGACCCGTTGATCCATTGGCTTCCTGGACATTTCCTCCTGGATACCCCACAGGTACCTCACATATAACGTGTCTGAAAGGGAATTCACCACTGCCTTTCCCTCACCCCCACTCTTTCACTACAGCTACCCAACTTGGGCAGTTGATCAAGTTAGAAACTTGGATGTCATCCATAATGCCTTCTCTTTTCCTCACCCCCCCCCCCATCTAGGGTAGCACCAATTCTGCCTGTTTTTGCTTCTTCAGTATATTGACTCAATCCACTTCTCTGCCAGTAGCTCATTTAGGCCCTCGCTGTCTCCAACACAGACTACTGCTATAGTGTCCTAACTGATATCCCAGCCTTCAGCCATGCACCCTCCAGTCCATTCTCTATAAAGCAAGAACAGTCTTTTTAAAAGATAAATCTAATTATGTCGTTCTGCTTTGACCCCTTCAGTGGCTCCCATTGCCTTCGGGAGATAGTCCAAGCTTCTTAGCTGGTATACAAGGCCTCCATGATTCGACCAGTACTTCACCAGCCTCATCTTTTACTGTCTTGTACTCTGGGCTCCGTCATTTGGTGCATGTGTGAGCGCATCATAGCTTCTCTCACCTCCTGGCTCTGTACATATGATAGCCTCGGTCTGAAAGCCCTTCCTTTTTCTTTTCGTCTAGTTATCTCAAATTGTCTTTCAGGCCTCACCTTAGAAGCTACCTCCTTCAGGAAGTTTCCTCACCCGTCTCCCAAGGTTGTGCTCTGCCTGTGCGGTCCCACAGTACCCCATGCTTGCCCTTCTTGTGCGCTAATTAACCCATTTAATTGACATTGTCTGTAGCGGCCACCACAGGCTCCTCAAGGACAGGGACTCTGCCCTCCTCATGGTTGTATTCTAACCACCTAGCACGGTGCTGAGCCCATAGCAGGGCTCCGTTACAGAGCAAATAAATGCTAGAGAATGTAAGAAATACAGTAAAGATGAAGAGTCATTGAAAAGACAGGGCAATGTGAGATGATTTTTACCGCACGGTCTCACACGTTTTTAAAGCAAGGGGCAAGATTATCTCCTGAGACCCAGGGTAATGCGGGAAGTGGTAGAGATTTAAAAAGAGAAGGCAAGGTATGGAGTAGGCAAGGTATGGGTATCTGCTACTGACTCTTTATTAGGTAGTTATTGAGCAGGAGCTTCTATTTCAGGAATTCAAGATGCTGCAGGATGTGGCTGTGAATGAATCACAGAGGGATGCTGGGCACTGGGTCTGCACCCAGTGGAGTCTCTGCAAGGAAGAGATGCTAGAGGAGACAGAGCTGGTCTCACTGGGTAAGGGCTCTCTCCTCTAACTTAGAATCCATACACTCTTGAGTTCTCCTTGAAAAACAAAAACCAAGAAAAGTTTTTAAAGAGCTCAGTGGAATTGGAGGATTAAGGATTCCCAGTGGCTTTGACTCTTGGAGGCAGGATGCTTCTGCTCTTTGTTGAAGGATGTCTGGGCTAATCTGTGGACTTGGGAATCGACAGTTCCTCGACTCTCCCTGAGCTTGCACTATCTCTGTCTCTCTAGTCCTGTTGGAAATCAGTAGATAACCAAAAGTCAACTCATCTTCAGATCTTCAAAACCTACCCTCAGAACCTCCTCTTCCTCCTCTGACCTCTGTTTTCATAAACAGCGCCATATCCCACCCATTGCCCAAGTCAGAAAACTGAAAGTCACTCTTGACTCTTTTCTTCCCCCACATCAGTCACCATGTTCTGTTGATTCTAGGTTTTCCCATAGTAGACAGTGCTTACCTTATGGAGCGCTGGTCACATTATCTTGTTATTATCCATTTACACATTTATCTCCCCACCATTAAACTGTAAGTTCCTTGAGGGCAGGGACCATATCTTATGTTCACTTTTGTATTCGCAATACCTAGTACAATGTCTGGAGTGTAGTGGGTGCTCAGTTAATGTGTGTTAGGTAAACAAATCAGTGGATGAGGTGAAACACTGATGCCCATTTCCCAGAAACTATGAGTGCAGCTGGATTGGACTGTAGAGGAGAACTCATCTCTGATCAAACCTGTGTCTGTACCCTTCTGCTCCGGACATCCTCTAAGGGGAAGATTTCCTTCAATTACTCCCTATTCCTTTCACCTATGGAATTGGATGAGAAATTTGAGCAGTGTGGCCACCCATCTCTGCAGAGAGAGCTATGTGGGGCTGAGGACGGGCTACTTCACCACACCCATGCCGGTGGCAAAGGCTGATCCTAATGATTCTTATAGAGAGGAGTCCTTTTATCACTATTTCCAAACAATTTTTTGTTTCCCCTTTCTATGCCCCTTGTTACTTTTCTTGTATGGTATTCACTTTGTTCTAGATCTAGAATGAAATGATACGGGCCGGCCCCGTGTCTTAGCGGTTAAGTGCGTGCGCTCTGCTGCTGGCGGCCCGGGTTCGGATCCCGGGCACGCACCAACGCACTGCTTCTCCGGCCATGCTGAGGCCACGTCCCACATACAGCAACTAGAAGGATGTGCAGCAATGACATACAACTATCTACTGGGGCTTTCGGGGAAAAATAAATAAATAAATAAATAAAATTAAAAAAATAAATAAATAAAATGAAATGATACTATGTATCCATATCAGTCAGGATCCAGTCAGAAGATAAAAACTATACCAGTAATTTAAACAAGGGACATTTGCTATACAGAATCTTTAACTAGTGAAAGGTAGCTAACTACTGAAAGGCTTAAAAGAGAACTCTAAGGAATATAGAAATAGATAATGCAGGAAGCAGCCTTACCACTAGGACTAAGAGAAAGAACCAAGAATTTAGAAGAGGACTCCCCCACCCCAAAGCTGAGATTCAGACTTTTTTGGAAAGGTTGTGGCTGCCAAAGGAACAACAACCTGCTGGTGGTGAAGAAACTTGTCAGAGGGCATAGGCCAGAGCTGGTCTGTAAGCATGGCCTGCCCAATAGCAGAGAAATTTACTGAAAGGTGTAGGCAGGTGGGAGGTAGTCCATAGGAAAGGCCTGATGAATGGTAGAAAAACTCACTGGAGGGTATGGGCGGGCCAGAGCTGGTCCACCAGAAGACATCAAGCCTACCAGATGATTTGGTGGCCCCACCAAAAAACAAAACACTCAGGCACCAGAAGAAAAATCCCTTTCTTTGTGTGGCTTACGGTGTTCCTGTAGCGCCCTCTATTGACAAAGCTAGCTGACTAAGGAGAAATGTTTCAAGGTCCAGCTCCAATATCCCAAGTAGGGCAAAGAAGACAAAAAGGGCATGTATAGTATGATCCCATTTTTGTATCAGAAAAAACATATGCCAGAAATAAGACTGGGAGAACAACAAAGCATTGGCAGTGGCCATCTTTGGGTGGCAGGATCGCGGGATGATGAGTACTTATTTTCTTCTCTGTGCTTTTCTCTGTTCTTGGTTTTCCTATAAAAAGCATATAGTATTTTTGTGATTAACAAAAATGTTATGGAAAAAGTGTTTCTAATTTTAAAAGCTACTTCCTCTAAAATTATGAAAAAATAATTATGAAACACATTAAGGGTTTGGAGTCCTTTTTTTAAATTATACATTTCTACTTTAGATTAAGGTATCTATTGATTCCCTGTCACAAAAGACAGGTAAATTAGCACAGTTTATACTTACTCCCAACACCTCTCTTCCTCATAGTGCAATTTTTATGAATATAATTATTTTTACATTGTCATGGTTTAAAGCATTTACTTTCTATTCTACAAAAGTAATTTCCAATTGTTTAATCTCGGTTCTACATTTAAATTGATTCGATGCTCACCATCCATTCTTTTACAGTGTCCTCTCAGTTCCTGAATGTTTGTTTTAATTCATTTCTTCATCAGCTATATCTCACTGTCCAGTAGTTCTTTTCAGAAAGGGCTTCTGGGTGCCGTATTCCCTGAATTTTTACCTACTTAAGAATGTTTGCCTTTTGCTTTTGAGATGAGAGCACACTTTACTGGGTAAAAAATGATCGGATCGCATTTTGTTTCTTTTCAGAACTTTGTAGGCATCACTCTATTCTGGCATGAAGTGTGCCTGTGGAGAAGTGTAAAGTCGACCTGAAGTTCTCTCTTGCACATTACTTGTTTCTCTGCCTAGATGCCCATTTGTTCAGTTCCTGAAATTTAGTTACTTCACCAGGACATATCTTGGTGTTGACTCTTCTATATCAACTTTTTGTGGACTACAGTGTACCCTGCCAATAGTCAAGTCTTTATTTCAACAACATTTTCTACTGTTATATATTTGAATGTTTTTTTCCTTCTGTTCGTTCTTTTCTCTTCTTTAGGAACATTAGTTATATGTATTTGAATATCTTTCTATTGTTGCTGGTCTTCTCTATAATGATAGTTTTATCCATCTCATTCTGTGTGATTTCTCCAGGCCTCATCATGCCTCTGATTATTTTTGTTGTTTCTTAGGTCAATTTCTTCTACATTATGCTTTTAGTTTTCCCTTCCGTTTCTTTCCTCAGCTCTGCCAAATTACTTCTTACTTCTTTTTACTGTTTTATAACCTTTTTATTGTTTTATAATCTATTTTGAACCCTTGTATCTCATCTTTGAGGTTTTTTTTTTTAGTTTTTTTTTTTTTTTATTGATGTTTTAATGGTTTCTAACATTGTGAAATTTTGGGTTGTACATTTTTGTTTGTCCATCACCACATATATGACTCCCTTCACCCC